GGGGGGGAATTTGTATGAGACAAAAATGGAGGAGGATTTGGCTCAGTCAGGGAAGGTACAGAAAGTTTGAACTTTACTCTACAAGGCTTGTGTATCACATAACTGGATTTGGTCGTTTAGACCAGTGGTTCTCAACCTGTGTAACCTCAGGACCCACATTTGTCCTTGGTCATTAAGTCGCGACCCAAGTTGAACTGCAATGGAACGCACGGCATGTGGTACCTCGCGCTCCGATGCGGGCGATAGAACTGTGGGTGGGAGATGCATTCAGGATGCCATTCAAATGAATGGCAATGCAATGCACTCCCACACCATCCATATGTGCATCACCTGTAGAGGTGCCAGGAGCCAGAATGTGACATCCCTCCGGTTCAGGCACCTCTACTGGACACGCAAGGGTGCTGTAGGGAATGCACGTATGAATGGAGCTCCCTCATGGCCATAACCCCAGCCCACCCCACCTCAAGCACTCGGCACCGGGCAGCATATTTTGAATGGCTGCTCGGCGCGAGAACTGACGCAGTGTTATGCTAGGGAGAGGCAGAGGAGCCTCTCACCTAGAAAAGTGGAAGGCATGCAGCGACCCACTGAACACAGGGTCGCGACCCACCAGTTGCAAACCAAGGGTTTAGACTGTCATGAAGCATGCCTTTAGTTGTAATTTAGGTGGACTGATCCTTTAAGCTGATCACACAACAACATTATATATACAAATAATAAAAGGCAATAGGTCCCCTCTCAAACAGCCTAAAAATATTTACAGACACACAGACTTGATAATGCCATGATCATGGAGTTGCATTGATCAACGTCAAGACACGGAGAAAACTATGGTTTTCCATGTGCCCCGTTTGCACCATACAGGCATACTGCGGTGCACTGCATAAAAACACAGTTGAAAGTAAAACGGCACGTTACAATGCACAGCAGCATGTCACAACACCCTGCTGTGCACAGAGCTGAATGAAAATGTTTTTTGATACCTATTAATGAAGTTAAAGAAAACCCATTAAAAGGAGAACTATGGGGTTAAGGCTTTTCCCCATAGTTCTCCTTAGGGTAACGGGAGGACACAAACTAGTGTCCTCCCGTCACCCTAAGCTCAGTATACCGCGAGCTGCGGCTCGCGGTATCCTGAGACGCCGCAGCTGAAGCGGATCCCGACTATTATGCCGGGATCCGCCCAGCTGCGTGAGTGACAGCTGGCTCTGCCTATCTAGAGGCAGAGCCATCTGTACCCGCCCCTCCCCCATCCAATCCGCTAGTCAGCGCATGGCCACTGGTGTGAAGGGTCCCTGAACCAGACTCACATGTGGGAAGGTGATTTTCCTCAGTGCGGCCTCGTAGGATTTGACTTTTATCCTCTCCAGCAATGGTCGTGCGACAATGTTTCCATCCAGGCCTGTGAAAAGACAGCACTTTAGTACAAGAACACCACAACTATGAAATAAAATCTAAAAATAAATACAGTACCTCCAGAAATATAAGCCGTGCTGCTGTGAGCCACTGCCCGGACGTCGCGGCTGTGGTGCTGGAATGGTTTGGTGGAAACCCACTGCTTCTCCTCCTTGCCTAACTGCGCTGCCAAGTGCTGGAACTGTAAGACTGATCCCTGTGCTGTGCCCACCACCAGGCTGTCTTCTTTCTGCCAATGAAAAAAAAAACAGATATCAGCCTTGTTCAATAAAATAATCTATAGTAACCCAGAGATGAGGCATTCCAGCTAATGTGCCCAAAATCAACTCAATCCGGCACCAGGTTTGAGCAATGGTAAGGGACCAAGAAGGGTCAAACTCCTGAGAACCATTGCCAGGTAAAATATACATATATATATATATATATACATACACTATATTGCCAAAAGTATTGGGACGCCGGCCTTTACACGCACATGAACTTTAATGGCATCCCAGTCTTAGTCCGTAGGGTTCAATATTGGGTTGGCTCTCACCTTTGCAGCTATAACAGCTTCAACTCTTCTGGGAAGACGTCCACAAGGTTTAGGAGTGTGTCTATGGGAATGTTGGACCATTTGTGAGGCCAGGTACTGATGTCGGAGGAGAAGGCCGGGCTCGCAGTCTCCGCTCAAATTCATCCCAAAGGTGTTCTATCGGGTTGAGGTCAGGACTCTGTGCAGGCCAGTCAAGTTCCTCCACCCCAAACTCTCTCATCCATGTCTTTATGGACCTTGCTTTGTGCACTGGAACAGGAAGGGGCCATCCCCAAACTGTTCCCATAAAGTTGGGAGCATGAAATTGTCCACAATGTCTTGGTATGCTGATGCCTTAAGAATTTCCTTCACTGGAACTAAGGGGCCACGCCCAACCCCTGAAAAACACCCCCACACCATAATCCCCCCTCCACCAAACTTTACACTTGGCACAATGCAGTCAGGCAATTACCGTTCTCCTGGCAGCCGCCAAACGCAGACACGTCCATCGGATTGCCAGACAGAAGCGCGATTGGTCACTCCAGAGAACACGTCTCCACTTCTCTAGAGTCCAGTGGCGGCGTGCTTTACACCACTGCATCCCACGCTTTGCATTGCACTTGGTGATGTAAGGCTTGGATGCAGCTGCTCGGCCATGGAAACCCATTCCATGAAAATCTCTACACACTGTTGTTGTGCCAATCTGAAGGCCACACGAAGTTTGGAGGTCTGTAGCTATTGGCTCTGCAGACAGTTGGCGACTTCTGCACACTGTGTGCTTCAGCATGCGCTGACCTCGCTCTGTCATTTTACGTGGCCTACCACTTTGTGACTGAGTTGCTGTCGTTCCCAGTTGCTTCCACTTTATTATAATACCACTAACAGGTGACCGTGGAATATTTAGTAGCAAGGAAATTTCATGGAGCATCTGAATCCAATGATTTGGAGGGGTGTCCCAATACTTTTGGCAATATAGTGTGTTTACAAGACATGATGATGTTATGGGCCCTTAGACTGCTGGAGCCAATCTAGGAGCCAGGCAGAGTCAAGGCTTGGGTATTTCCTCTTTATTCAGTCCCTTAGGGAAAAACGAGCAGTTAACTCTTGCAGTGCGGGGGTAGCCCACTACAAGGATATACCCATCCTGCTCCTATTTTTTTTCATCACTGTGGACAAACAATTATGGTATCTATGGATTACAAGTACTGATGTAGAGAATGTCACACCACCGATTGAAGCAGTGTGGCACATGTGGCCAACTCTTCACCCAAAAGCGGTGCATTCATCTCCTCTTCCACGACAACTCACAATGCCACTGAGCAGACACAACAAGTGCTTTAAAGAAGAGGTTTTGGGTGTAGGAGTCTCAGCATAGAAATTATTAGCACAACTACAACTACTACTAGGGGCAGGGCCGGCCTTAGGGGTGTGCGAGCAGTGCGGCCGCAATGAGCATGGGGAACTAGAAGCCAGCATGTTCTCTGGTGCTGGCCCCGGCCCTCAGCAGCTACAGTCACACTCAATGGGATGTGATTAGCATGCTTACCCCGCTCTGTCATTTTACGTGACCTACCACTTCATGGCTGAGTTGCTGGTGTTCCCTGTTGCTTCCACTTTGTTATAATACCACTAACAGGTGACCGTGGAATATTTAGCAGCAAGGAAATTTCACAGAACACTCGAATCCAATGATTTGGAAGGGTGTCCCAATACTTTTGGCAATATAGTGTGTGTATATTGTCCAATCAGAGGATGCCTAGTATTCATTAATAAAAATACTAGGCATCCTCTGAACGGAGACTATACTTAGAAAGAGACACTCTATGTCCTAGCAGCTCAGGGAAGACATTCAGCAGAACAGCT